TATTTCGAATAATGCATGAATATTGATTGATACGCGCTATGATCCAAACATTGTTTTATTAAATTTACTTAATAAATTTCATTTCATTTCATGTGGGTCTATAAAAATGTTCCTATTGTGGACGCCATTTTATCCGCCATATTGGATTTTCTCCATTTTGAATTCTTGTATGTTGAAAATGAGTAGAAAAAACCCTAAATCAGATAATTACAAGCCATATACGACAAATATTCTGTGATTATCATGCCATTTTGCCCATTTCGACCGCCATTTTGTCCGACATCTCGGATTTCCGCCATCTTGAATTCTTGAATGTTAAATTAAACAAATTAAATGAACTCTGCTGACCCCAAAAAACCAATAAAGGTCATATTAAAAGCTATATCCGACGAATATATTGAGAAGTAATAGGATTTTTTACATTTTGGTTGTTATTTTTGCAACCATTTTGAAAAAGGGCCAGGCACCATACTAAAAAAAGTCACTTAGACAAAAAAGAAACCCTCAAAATTCTGTTTCACTTGGTCATTTGGACTAAGAAAACACGGACACTACTTTGCACGTGTCGATTGTCCTACCCCTAATAAAACAGTTACTGAAAAAATGGAAATATCCTAACAAAAGGGAACACTGCACTAAATAAATTTGCTGGGAATATGTACATTCCTTATCAGGATATACGAGAATAAACGTTCGGAAAAGTATGCCATTTTCCTCTCTATTGGCCATCAAGACCGAAAATGACAAAAAGCCAACTGCGAAATAACACAATTTGCCCGAAGTTTTGGAAATGAAATGAATGGAGTTTTACGTCCTACTTTTCTGCACCATGTGGGCTAATGAAGACGGACAAAAGGTTTGGACTTTTCCTAATAATTAAACTCCAGACCTCATTAAAACAGAGCTTTATTCGTTTTCATTAGCAGTAGTCATAAGTAGTCCTTATTGTAAGGCAATTGCCAGATGTTTTTCACACCTCTCTGTAAACGATTTATTAGACTGATAACATGCCATTTGATATTTTTAAATAAATTGTATCCTGGTATATTTCTGACGACAACATTAATCTCAAGCTGTTCGTCCATTCAACATTTTTTGAAGCTTGTTTGATTCAGTAGCACACTAAAAATAATTATATTTACTTATACAAACAATTTGTTGAAATCGGTTGATAGCTAAAGAAGCTCTAGGGAAGAAGAATATTCGTTTTGAATCGAGATGATTATATTTCATAAGCTGAGCATCAACTGAATAATCCTAAGCATTGTGTTATTTTGCACGAGCCGATTTTCAAAGAATTTGCTTCAAGGGAATGATTTATCTGTAAAGGTGGATTAAACGCTGATATCCTTAAACACAATGATATGCTTAAGGAGGTATGTGCAGAGAGTGGTACTAAATTGATTCAGACATTCGACATGATAAACAAAAGAACAAAAAACATTTGGCGAGACGGCATTCACCTATCAGATACAGGTACAAGTCAGTTAGTCCAACTGTATCACAAACAGGTGAATATCATCAAGCAAAGTGTACGCCGTAATGCCTGTTTCAACTGTGGTATCTCAGGATATAATGTGTCATCTTGTACGATATTTAGTAAAGTTGTCAGCTATATTTGTGGTCAGACTGGACATCTTACTGTAGATACAGAAATCAACCCAGAAACACCTATAGTTCTTACCGCTATAATGAATACTAGGGGCATGGCAAAGACCTCACCAACCGCAGCTCATTATCAATACTGCTACAGGTAATTGTTGAATATGAGAAAGAAGTGTATCAATCTTTCATTATGGAAGAATATAGGTTAGGCGTTTCAAATACTGTAAATCCAGCGAATTCCCTTTTCAGTCCTTTTGTTTCTCGCACCAAAATTAGGTCTAATTTCTGTCGTTCACCCACTTCGTTCAGCATGTCCCCAGATGACCTTAATTCAAACAATACTTGCTGTTTTACAGCTATCATCTGATTTAAAACTTAATGATGGCTGTAAACCGAGTTAAAAAATACTGTCATGCTGAGCAAGATAGACTGGACGGAGCAGGAGATGTTTGTCTTGAATATGAAACTATTTCAAATGCTGCACTTTCCTTTTCAGTCTCAGATTCTCACATTCCAACAAGTTTGTCCCTGAAAGACCTTTCCGATGTATTTGCACCTCCTACTTCATCTATAACCCAACCTTTTAAATAAGGTGAGGGTAAATCTGATTACATCATTGGGCATATAAATGTCAATTGATTGATTACTAAAAAGGAAAACAAACTTGATGAAATGCGTAAAGTCATATTTCAACCAGAAAATAATATCAGTATAAAACTATAATGGGTTTTACTGAAACTTTTCTACATGAATTAATATTAGATGACCTGCATGTTGACAATGATGTTCGTGAAAGAAAGGATCGATTTTGTCAAGACGGGGGCGGGATTTTATTTTATATCAAAGATACAATTAAATACGAAAGACTTGTTGAATTTGAAACATCTGATGTTGTATGTATGTGGCTTAAAGTTTCACCTAACTTTTCTAAACCTTATATTCTATCTTTAACGTATAGACCACCTAATTCTAATGTCGAGTGGTATGAGAAATTTGAATTTTATATAATGTTTCATCTAAATATGCATCCGCACTCTTTTGCATAATAGGTGATTTTAATATTGATTTCAATGCTCCTGTGCCTAAACATTGGCAGACCATTCTTTCGTCATTTTCATTATCTCAAATGGTTACAGAAACAACGAGAAAAACTCATATGTCAGCTACTATACTAGATCATCTGTACACTAACGTACCAAATAATATTCAAGAAATTAAAATACCTCCATACAGTCTAAGTGATCATTTTCTTGTAGTTTTCTCATTGAAGAATATTCAAAACTGTAAAAACTCTAAAAACAGGCACATTTTAAGGATACTGAGTTTCTAAACGATTTGATAAATTCGCCATTCCAAAATATTTAACAAATTAATGATATTGATGTAGCTTTACCAGCTTTTTACGATCTTATTCTCACTGTATTAAATAACCAAAGAAATTATTTCAAATTACAGACCAATTTCCATTTTACCAACCATTTCTAAAATCTTTGAAAAACATATATCCACCAACATTAAGTCTTTCTTCGAAAATATCAATTTATTTTATGTTAACCAGTCGGGTTTTGGAGAGAACCATTCTTGTTCTACGGCACTAGTTAGAATCACAGATAATTGGCTTGAAGCTTTAGAACAAGGTAAATTGACAGATGTTGTCTACCTGGATTTTAGCAAGGCTTTCTATCTTATAGACCACCAGCTCCTTCTTGATAATCCTTTTTTATATAATCTTCACCCTTATTTGTTATATGTAATTAAATCGAACCGTACCCAAAAAGTTTGCCTTGGTAATTTCCAATCAATACATAGAAAAATAAAACGTGGTGTTCCTCAAGAATCCATCCTTTGACCACTTTTATTTCTTATTTTCATTAATGATCTTCCCCTTTTAATAAAAAATTCTACTTCTGAAATATTTGCTGACGATACTACCATATATTATTCTGATGAAAAACTTGGCTGCATTCAGAGTTGTCTTCAGGAGGACTTAGACATTATCAGTCAATGGTGCCATGATAACGGTATGGTAATAAACACAAAGAAAACTGAAAGTATGTTAATTAAAAAAC